CGATGAATGGATGTACAATAAATAGCAAAGATCGTTGCAGAGAGTCAGGGGCACATGGCGTCGCTAAAACCTACTATTTACACAAGTTGTTATATCAAAATATACGATCATTCTTATTAGACGATATATTAGTGAAAAATATTCTCGTTAGAAGTACAATATCACGCCGGAGTCGTCGGGGGCAAAAATCGGCGTTTTTACACCTCATCGGAAGCAAGTGTCTCTTTACCATCGGGAGACGCTGACTTTTCCTTCCTCTCTTTCCTCTCTTCCTCTTTCATTTGAAGAGCAACCGCCGATTCCAACACTCGTATCCTTCCCTCGTGTTTAACGATTACTGCTTTTAATTTTCTTATTTCTTCTCTGCATTCCTTCAATAATTCCTCCTGTAATCATAAAAAATTTATAGTTTTATTTATAGTTTTTATTTGACTCGATAAAAAAAAAAAAGAGAGAAAATTAATTTCCGATACGTACGCAAACCCCAGGTAAAACTTCCGTAGCGTTTTGCGCATTAGATGCGACCTTCGCGCCTTTACTCAATATATTGGATTTCTTTTGTACTTTAAGTTCATTCTTAGAAGCGGATGGCTGATAACCGTCCCTGAGAGATATCAGTACAGGCTCTGCGTCAGTACCACTCTCCCATTCTTCTGCCGAGATCGCGGCAGTATCACCGGCAGTATCGGGATACAAATCTTCTTGGAAGAGCTCAGACTAAAACACAATTATATAGCACAATCGTTACTTCTCCAATCGAATCTTCTAATTTTTTCGATTTCTACTTCCAAATCGAAATAATGCTTTCTCACCTTTCTCGGTACTGTCATAGATACTACTTGGCAAAAGCCCGAATTGTTTAATCGATAGAATCTGGTTATTTCACAGCTATTAACGTCACAGCCCCGTTTTGGCATAATTCCTATACCTCGTTGAGGATCGGGAGTTTGAAAAGTATTGATGTAATGAACAAACGGTGGTTCAGGCGTAATTTCGAAGTATCGGATCACAGAATCGCCCTTGCCACACAGGTATACTAAATTTGTATCGGAATCATACAGAGGGAACATAACTCCATTGCTCGTATCTAACTCTACCATAACAATAGGCTCGCCCAACATGTCGGGAGCTCGTAATGAATATTGTCTTTCCGACATTTTACTAAAACCCGTCGTAAAGATCAAGCCACCCCTGAAAATATAATACAAATAATTCTCTCAATCAGTATGCACGAAGATTTCACCAATATCTAATGTGGTAGTCTTTTTTGTTATCTAACGTGTTCATTTTTTTTACATATATATAGTATATACATTATACATAATACATATATATTATGAATAGAAAATATATTTACATTGCATTATTTTGTAATATCTTATTATAATATTTTACATACAGAAATTAATCATCAAAACTCTTTTACTACATCCACCTTATTACCACCTCATTACGAAGAGCTTATCTTTTTTACAATATTTTACACAAATATCTTTCATGAATGTTGTCTTACCACAAACAAGACACATATTGCAATATAAGAAATACAATTATAATACACAAATTACATATGTATAACACTTGCTTGCGTAAACTTGTACAAGTACTGGTGAATCCTTTCTTTTACAAGCATAAATAATAATTATCATTAGATTATTTTATAAAGACATTTCTACGAAATTAATATTCGTTGTAACTTACATAATTATTTTTAAGCATTCTAACATTTACAATTACAATTTAAATTAATAACTTGGTGCACAATACTTACTGGAATATTTATGGAGAATTACAGAGCACATCTTGACATTCGTATATATTAAGTTGGCATCTTCGTCATTGTCGAAAATTCAGTCTGGTGATCTTTCCATTAAAAATTATCAGAATCTTGCACTACACAAACCGGAAATACAAGATGATAAAAACAAGTGTACCTTTACGTACGCTAACATATTTGTCTTATAAACTCTAAAACATTCGTGGACAAAAGCACGAAAGGTATCGTGTATATGTCGACGTGAATATATATAGTCACGTCAAGTTAGTCGAAAATGTCATAAAAAGAAAAGACAAAATAGGAATAACAATATAGAAAGGAAGAGCTCCAATTGTGGCCATACTAAGTAAAAATTATCTCTAAACGATTTCTACTAACACATAGATTATTTATATTGAATTATTACTACTATATATTTGTGTAAAAAGGTGGATGTATTCCATTTGATGATTATGTTTTATAAACACGTTTCATAAGAGAACACTTGTTCTCTTATAAACATTTAAATTCAAGTACCTAATATAAAAAAATAAAAAAGTTGCAACTTTGTACAATTATATTGTATAATATTATTCACACATTCCTTTTTGTTTAATATTTATCTACATCCACACTCTCTCATGCAAATTCACTCGTTAGTTTAATGCACTCTTCCTCTTACAAAATCATAGCCATAAAAATTGGTTATTTTTATATTTAAAGTATCGAGTAGCATTCTGAATAATATATCATATATATATGTAAAGGCGTTAGAAAAATAATCGTAAAATAATGTTTTTTGTCATTTTCAATGTTGAGTCATGTTAATAGTGTATTTAAATTAAACGTCTTTTGATTAGAAAGTGGAGAGAAATAAGAATTTCAGAATTAAGTACGTATTTAAATATTTACATTAAAAAAATAATAATGTAACATATCTATTAGAATGATATTTGAAATAAGGCTGATGCAACTGGAAATTATATCCATTTTCAAGAAAAATTTAAACAGCTTTTTAGGAAAATTATATTTTCTCTATTTGCTGTTTCTATACTTCAAGAATTATGATTGTTTCCACTAATGTAGATTAATTTAATCTCGATTTAACTGATTCATGTTTTTCTAATTCTTGAAACTAGAAAAAGATTAATAGTTAAATCGATTAATCGATTAATAATTAAAGTTCAACTACCATTGATAAAAACATTAGAATTTAATCTGTTTTGCAAATGTCTATATTTTTCTATATTTCTCACTCTTTTCCTTGTTGCATCAATCTGATTTTTTTATATAATACATGTGAATAATATATAGCAATAAAAAGAAGCTAAAATGCTTCAAAAGAATAAAATACATGGAGTACGTACCTAAGAAAGATGGCACGCGTTGCCTTGCTTCCCTCATGCGCTATAGCTTCTTCCAATATTTCTCCCGACCTCGGATCTAGGATTCTAATTTTTTTATCTTTGCATGTAGTAACTAATCGAGATCCATCCCAGTTCCAGCATGCGGAATAAACCACGTCTGGATGGCAGTCGATGCGCATCAGAGCTTCTCCCGTCCCGACATTCCAAATGATAACAAGATTGTCCGAACCGGCTGTGAGCAGCACATTTAATGCAGAGGGATGCCATAACACTAGACCAACTCTGCGTTGATGCAATTGCAGATCTACTATCGACTCGGTCAATGTCCTAGAAATACCCCCATCAGGTATCTGCCATACTTTGACAACACAGTCCTCAGAACCAGAGGCTATGACATTATCATTATGAGGGCACCAAGCGATGTCCAGTACAGGTCCCTTGTGTCCACCTACTAAAGGATAGTCCGCCGGTATTCTTCCTACCTACAAATGTTTCAACAATAGAGATCAGATACCAATTATGGTGTGGCCAAGGAACTTGAAACGGATATTGCAAACTGTCATTTGGAAAGCTATGCTATTACTGCTGTTGTCACTGTAATAACACATATACACGACATGCCAATCCGACTGCGTTAGCCAATGAAAAGGGAGAAACTCGACAACGAAATTGGGGCAGGCATAAAAGTAAAGAAGTTTATCTTTTATTGCATTATGAACTGCACTAGACTTTCTCGCTTTTATCAAAATATCAAATATACCTACTTTACTTTAAGTACAAAATGTGTACAGCTATAAAAGTTATAAAAACAGATCCAAAAGAACAGAAAAAAAAAAAAAGTAAAAAAGTCACCTTGTTGTGCGGCAGGACGATGAAGGCACCGCCGCCCGCTGATTCCACGATGATGGCGAGAAACTTGGGATTCACAGTGCAGAAGGTCGAGTCCCACGACGACTTGGACACTCTGATGTTGTCGTAGCATTGCTCGCGCTTCAGCGGAGTTCCGTACACGTGGCGGAACTTGCTGGTGCGCACCACGCGGAAAGACATGTCTGCACCTGCTCTGCAATCAACGGAGCGGAGACAACGGTGAGACTGTGATAGAGAGAAAGAAAGAGAGAGCGGACCGGGCGAGGTGGAACGGTCTCCGCGGGGGTCGCTGACGTGCGCCGGTCTTTTCTGCCGCGATTATTTTTAATAAATTATCGTCGTACACGCGTCCGCGACACGGGCGTGGGCGTCGCGTGGAACATCCCCGCTCTTTATAAATAGATTCCCCACTCTCACTCCATCTCTCTCTCCTTCTTTTTCTTTCTCTCTGTTCTCTCGTATAGTGTCGTACACAAACGGACACGACTGCAATAAGAATATATTTCGAATGCTCGGTCGCTTTGCATCTACGTATTCGACGCGACCGCCGCGGCATGCGTAATGAACAGTTTTGCGAGCTTTGCCGATTATCGCGGCGAACGGATGAAGAGAGGAAGAGAGAGAGAGAGAGAGAGAGAGAGAGATAGAAAGAGAGAGAGAGAGAGAGCGCTTCCCGCGCTCCTTACATGGTGCATCGAAAAATGATTTCGATTCACCGAAATAGACGGGGTCGCGCGAGCGCGGCCGCGCCCGAGCGAGAGTGAAAAAGAGAGCGAAAGAGAGCGCGCAAGAGATCGTGATTCACGAATGTGATTCGAAATAATACGCTCTTCGCATATGTGTCATTCTCGTCCTGACCAGCCTGACCTACTCGCGCGACACGCGAACACTCCGGGAGATCTTCAATTCTTCATCGTGTCTCTCGATTTTCTCGAACGTCGGACGGGATGAAGGATTCGAAAATCGCGGCTGATTCTCCTAATTGCAGCTTCTTTAAATCCCCCTCCCCCCTTCCCCCCCCCCGATTATGGATGTTTTTCGTGACAATTTAAGACGATACAAATGTCATTCTAGGCTGTGTGCTACACATTAAATCCCGAGAAAGATAAAATGTTTGTGTGTGTATATGTGTGTGTGTGTGTGTGTGTATCGACAATTGTTTCTACCAATATAGATTAACTTTAATCTCAGTTTAATTTATTCTTTATCCTCTTCTAATTCTTAGAACTAGAAAAAGAGAAAAAATAAGATATAAACCAAGATTAAAGTTAATCTTGGCATCGATATAGGAACGTCCCGGTTTCTACCAGTGATTAACTTTAACCTTGGTTTAACTTTACTATTTATTTTTTCTTAAAAATTTAATTTTTTTTTAATTTTTTCTTAGAATTAGAAAAAGATAGAGTTTATTGAATCGAGATTTATTATTGAATTTTTATTATTGAACTGAGATTAGAATTAATCTTACATTAATGCTTGAACTGAATCGAGCTTTAATAGAAAACACCTTATATTAGGTGTTTGTTTTTTATTTAATGCACTGGATACATTAGAATTTTTCTTTTTGCTTTTGCTGAATATCTTTAACGTATACATACCCAATACTTTAAATACAAATAAGGGTGCATTTCTTAAGATCGATATTCATAATCGGTTTTTTTTTTTTAAGATCGTCTTAAGTAATATTTTAATTAGAATACTATATATAATACACGGCTTGTAATAGATTTATAACTCTTAACTGCACTGATCTTAACTGCACTGAAATATAAGAATCGACTATGAATACCGGTTTTACAGCTATAAAAAATTGTTTGTTTGTTTTCATTTTTTTTTCTCGATGCTTTCGTCTGACTCGCGAACGTCCAACGGAAAACGGTGGGCGATAAGAACTGCTTGCGGTTATCGTTATCCAACCGCGTTATCGCAACGCGATATCTTACACCGGAATGTATTTTCAAGGTGGTTAGTCACCGCATGGCGTTAATGATCAAAAGAAAAAAAAAAGGCAAAATGGAAAAAAAATACGTTAGAAGATTGTAGCATGATATCTCGCGCCGGAAATGTACTTCCAAGGTGGTTAATCACCGGCATTGAACAATTGAAAAAAAAGCAGAATGGAAAAAAAAACACAATAGAACGAAGAGCGAAATAACGAGATTTGTATTCCCGCCACATATCACGGGAATACATCGCGCGAATGTGCGATGTGCAGTTCGTTAAAGGAGAGTAGCGCTGTGGAAAAACAGACGAGAGTTGCCGCAAGGCATTCGGGAACACCTTATTTGGAAACGCGCACCCCGTCGGATCGAACAGTCACCCCCAGCGAGTTTAGCAATGCTGTGTTCACAATGGTCTTTCTTTCGCTCTTCTTTTGTTTTCCTTTTTCTCTTTTTCTCTCTCTCGCTCTTTTTCTCTCTCACATAGATTCGTCCATCTCGTTTGTAATTTTATTTCATTTTTTGCAAGTTTTAATTGAAAATGTTTTAATTGAAAATGTTAATTGGAAGAATTATCGAATTATATCACGAGGGAGGTACCTCTGGCGAATTTTGCGCCGCGCACCACCACTATATTACACGCGCGTACGAGCAGAACTTGCGAACTGATTCTCCCTCTCCCGCTGTGACAGTCGAAGATGCACGCTTTTGGAAGTGGACTCTTCTCCCCGCCGCTAACCTCCACAAGCGCTGACGAACGCCGATTCTCGACCTCGCAGTTTGTAAGAACACTATTCAAAGCAGAGTTGCCAGGTTTCTGAAACACAGACCCGCCAACTTTTCATGCTTGAAGTGCCACAGTGCGCCAACCGTTGCGAACGAACAATAAAAAAAAAGGAAATTTTTTTTGTTTTATCATTTTCTACATATTTTTTGTTTTGCATTCGATAGCGTACGATCATTCCTTTATATTTATAATTTCTCAAATAATTGGTCCAACATACATATAAAGAAACGTATAAAAAAAACTAGGGAAATATTAAATACTTGATTCGTTTTAAATTGTATATTAAGATCACTTTACGAAACGCCGATTAGCTTAATCGGTCGATTAGTCCAACGGAATTGACTAATCGCATCTGCTGTTAAACGAACTAATGCGATTGACCAATTCCAATGGACTAATCGACGTTACATAAAGTGATCCTTAAATTCACTACTGTCATTAATTTTAATTAAAAATAAAGGTTTTATATCTCGAAAAGTTGAAGCATCATATCATCTAACCTAATCCGTTGTAAGACAGATCGTGTAAATAAAATAAAGGAATCGATTCTGTATTTTCAAACAAGGTGAAAATTACAAAAGTGAGCAAATTTACTAAGTGTTGACAATGAAATTATCAGTATTCTAAATTTGCTCACTTTTGTAATTTTCACTTTGTTTCAAGATACAGAATCGATTTCAAGAACATATTAAATATAGGGGGTAGTTCACTTGACGCTACAAATGCTTCGAAGCTTTTGACTGATCAATCGGAAAAAAAAATTTTACTAATTAATCAATGAAAGAATGTTTCACAGCATTTGTAGCATCACGTAGATCACAGTTTCTCCGGGTTAAGTCTGGATCCTCATACAGACAACAGCGCTTTGATATAGAGCGCTGATTGATGAAAAGCCGGACATGGGGATAAAATTTACTTCCATAACTTGTTTTCACTAATCAGTGCTCTGTGTCAAAATGCTGTTGCCCGTATGAGGATCCGGAAAAATTTTACGAGCTGCTCAAATCAGCGAAAAAAACGTGGTAAAAATTGACGAATATCAAGCGTCCATTTTGATCACATCCATTTTGATTTTTTTTGTCGCTGAAACAGTCTATTAAAGCAGCTCGCAAAAATTTACTTTCATGCAAAAGTCTGTGCTACGACCATAACACATAAGCCGGTATTCATAGTCAAATCTTATATTCAAGACCGTTAAGTCTTAAGTACGATCTTAAGAAGTCACGAATCAATTAAAAGATGCATTAGCATCTTAAGATATTACTTAAGTCTTGAAATAAGACTCGACTATGAATATCGGTATAGTGCATAAAGATGCCTTTTCATACTGACGCTCGACGCTCATTTTCGGCATTAAGGTAAGTCACGTGATAGAAATTGACGAATATTAAGCGTTAATTTTGATCACATCTATATTGACGCTAAAAATGAGGGTTGAGCGTCATGAAAAGGAACCTTAAACGAATCAATCAATCAGGATACGATTACATATAGCGTGATATGCGATAAAGTAACTAGGAATCGCGTTCGCAAGTCGCGCTAGTATCATCCAAACGTAGCATAGTTCATGTTTACATAAAAAAAACTGGAAGTTGAATGGCTGTATTTCGCGAATTTCGGATTGACTTTTAACGTGGATAATGTAGAGATTGATCTTAAGAATGAATTATATACATGATTTAAAGATGGCGCTACATGGATGTAATCGACTTGTCGTTGATATAATACTAGAGAAGAAGCGTGAGAGCGGATATTCCTTTATATAATAAAAAATCATTAATTTGATATATTATCCAATTATTTATATTAATAATAATCAATTTATATCAATTGTCGATAGTATCAGCGTTTTCCAATTATCTCCCTTTTTGCATGGATGAAAATTTGTCCAGAGTTGACGGTCTTTAATAGTATTTTACCAATGATAATAGCATGAAAGAAAAACATGGATATTATTAGATTTGATACACAAAGGCCGAGATGTCCACTTTCAGATTTTCTCTCTCTAAGGGGCTCCGTACAATAAAAGGAACAGGAAACAGAGAACAGAAAATAATGGTGCGGCCAATAAGGAATTAGGAATAAGGATTCCTATCAGAAATCGTGTATTCCCGTGTATCCGATTTCTAATAGATTGAAATCTTTATTCCTTATGCCTTCTATTATGGCTGCAACTTAAGAATTTCGACCTATCAGAAATCATGTATTATGCAATACACAGCTTCTGGTAGGTTGAAGTTCTTATTCTCTGTTCTCTGTTTTCTGTTCCTTATATTGTGTGGAGCCCCTAACTTAAATCTCTAATAATATTATACGTATAAAACTAAAATGCCTAGAATGCTACTGCATAGCTCGATGTAAAAGGGATCTTTCTTGATGGTTTTGGAACACATACGACATCTAGTAACGAAATTTGTTTCTCAAATATCAGTAGGTATACTTTAATGCGTTCCAAAATGCATGAAAAAAGAGACGCTTTGATAATTTTGTTCAAGTGAAGTTTTCGTTTCTAGATATATAATTACATCGATGATTGAATATGAAATTGACAAGCCAAGACTGAAGATAAGTGTCTGTACAGCTGGTGAGACGTTGTATGATTCCTATTCTAACCTCTTTGGAAAGTTTGTTTCGTTGTATGCGGTACTTTTATTACTTTCATAAATCGTGTTTAAGATCAAGATATGACCAACATACACACAGTAAACAGTATGATCAGCAACAGAAATCGCGATTGTCTCGAATGCAGACTGCTGAGCGGTAGCGGCCTTGTCGCTGCCGGTTTATACGTCTGTCACCACTCCAAACAGTACCAAAAGCAAATAGGAAAAGCAGCAATGTGCTCAGTTGCCTCTGGTATGTCGGTTCGAGTAGCATAACATTGCTTTGTAACTTTATTTTGCTTTAGAAATAGAATGCACTTTGTACTCAAATAATAATAAATAAATTTTACTAATAAAAAATATTTATTTTACTCTCTCTCTAATAAAAAATATTCTAATATTAATATTCATGAATCTTTATTCAATGTTTATATACAATGATTTTGTTTTCAGTGTTAGTACTCCTTGGTACAGCCAGGATTTTCGACTTGCCACCCTTTCAAGATAAATTTAAACGCAGCTGAGAACTTATTTAAGCAAACATAAAGCTACGGTATTTTGTAGCAATTGCACATAAAAATGTGAGTGTGATGTGAAAATAATATGTATATTTTATTACATTCTTTCCTCACTTATGGTTTTTACCTAAAGTGTAAGATTTGTTTATATAGTCTATTGAGTCTTTCACAAATATGATGGTATTGAGAATATTTATTTTTAACTAAACACTGATATCTAATTTTGAACATTAAATGTTTCCTGAAAAGTTATTGTATTATTAAGATTTTATATTAAAAATGTATTTTTTTAATTTTATATAATTATCTTCGTATTTTCTCTATAAACTTTAAATTAAATTATAAACGCAAGAGAAAAAGAGATTAAAACAAAAAATTTTCTATCTTTATGTAATATCTTTGCCATTCAAGTGTTATATGATAGTCTTTCATTGAATATAAATTGTCAATGCTTACATTACTTTAAAATATACAAGATACTTTATTCCAAGCTTCAAAATGATAAAAAGGCAATAAATATATCTTGTTTTATGTATAGAAAATATTGTGGACTAGTTGCTTTCTTTTCAAATATAAAATTTTTGTATTTCCTATCTTTTGATTTTTTCACGATTTTGAGATGTGAAGTGAAGCGTATTATTTGCTTCTATTCCGCGAAACGCTATTGAAGCTGATGCAGTGTGAAACATCGATGCGCGCGCGCGCACACGTATTGCACGTGTTGCAAAATACAAAGGCGCGCGTGCAACGCGGAGAGCGAGCCGTAAACGCTTTCGTGGTGCGCGCCCGCTCGTTAATATTCGCACCGCGTTACTTCCTGTTACGTACTCGACGATACACTTACAGGACACGCTGGCCATTGCGTAGTGATATAAACTTATGTATCCACTGTGCGAGTCTCAACGCGAATCGATCGCCTACGCGACCCGAAACGTATCAGCAAAATTCCGAATACTGAAGTACATTATTCGATGATACTTGGAAACTGAAATTATCCGAAGATCATATTTCAATTCAATTTGAGCAAATCATCCGTAGAATTAATTTGTTAAATAGTTATTATAAGAATTGGAATCGTAATTATTTTTACAAAATTCAGATAAATTTTTTAACAACATATAACTATTGTTGGAATTCCGATATTTTCAAAAAGTCATGAATACTAAAAAGTCAAGGGAAAATTATTTATTGAAATTCATTTTGTAAGATCTTTAAAAAATGAAACAAAATATTTTATATCGTTATTATAATTGCTATCAATAATAAAATGACTATATTTTTTATTATCGATTTGAAATCGCAATGAAATCGCAATTGTTTTTAAAAGATCTAGATAAATTTTATAATTTATAACGATTATTTTGTTTTCTGATATTCTCGAAAAGTGACTACATTAAAGGGAAAATTATTTCTTGAAATTTATTTTATCCGAAGTAAGATCTTTAAAAAATGGAACAGAATATTTTATATCATTATTATAATTGCTATATAAATAATGAAAAAATTATAGATTTTATCCTATTTTATCCTATTTTTTTTTTATATTATAATATGATCGATTTAATATCAACAATAGAAAAGTATGACAGTTATAAAGAATATTTTAAAAAAGCATATGGCGAGATTGCCTTTTATGCATTTGCACAATCTGTGGCAGATCGGCAATCAATAACAAATAAGCTTTTATCCTCCCGTACAGGATACTTGTCCATCACGTGTTGAAACCGAAGATGCGACACGGCTTTTGTAAGTCTCTCAGACGAGGTCGTGTCTAAGGTCGTTCTTCTGGTATTGGCGCCACACCCTGGCGTTCCTAGCGAAGAAGGTGGCACACGAAGAAGAGGACGTGTGCCTCGCGCACGGCCTCTTGCCGCATCGACAGTCTTGACACGCAGGAGATCGCTCTTGTAATACTTGGAACACGGAGCGATCCATCCGGTACACGTTCGGCGTGCCTGTTACGTGTGCTGCCTGTGCCCCGTTTGCGATGGACAGACAATCAGGCCCGTTTCCCGCGACCCCCTCCTGATCCATCTCCTGCATCTTTAATGGAAGAAAGACAGAATTATTAGAAATAAAAATCATAGATCCTCCTTTTAAAAGGCAAGAAAAAATCGAACGAATCAAAACGAAACCTTTTTTTTTATTTCGGTCAAAATTTGTAATTTATATCATCTGCGTTTCTGAAATCAGAAAATAGGCGAAAAAGAGTTAAAAAGCGTTGCTAAGTTTTGGAAGGAGAAGAGAATGCTTCAAGAATTTAAAATATCACAGCGGAATAGAACACTACATTTCATCGCATTGTCAAATCTTGCCTGGACCGCGAGAAGTCGAGGACATTCCCTCGCCTATTTTTCTTTCCAGAAAAATGGACACAACCACAAATAAGATATAAAACATATATTCTCCGGAAGTGTCGTCTATGCGGTTTTGCAGCGCGTTCGTTTTTTCTTCTTTGGCGAACGCTATGAGTCGCGCACGACCACAGAAACGAGCACGTTGCATATCCGTATGCGTATATCTCAGCGATTCGACGCGGTTCACCAGGCTGTGGAAACCGAGAATTTTGTTGTTAACCCCGCCTTATGTAATACATTCATAGCTTGGAGAAAAATCGAGCGTTGTCCATCGCGCGTTTCGAATGACGAGCGAGGAAGAAAAAAAAAATTATAATGGAGAAAGGAAGGGAAAACGGTGAGAAGATGTCGTGGGGAAGGATCAAGGTCCTTCATTCCGTCTCCGTTCGATAAATCGAACGTATTCCAGCCGCTCGATCGTTCGGAAGATGAGAGAAAGCGAGAACTCGGAGCGCGTGGTATGCCCCTCGCACTATTGCGTCAACGCGTAATTGCAAGACTGTTCCTTCGTTCGTTTCAAAAGCCCCGGGAAGCTTATACATGTAACACAGTCTTTTCTGGATTTCATCAGTTTCTTTTTGTTCGCCCAATAATATTTCCCGATCATAATAAAATTAATTAATTTAAATGTCACACTCTACGTAAATAAATAATTATTACATTTCACTGTGAAACAACTTCGTTATCTTTCTTATTATTTATTTTATATTACAAATATTTTATACTTTACAATAATTATTAAACAGCAATTAAAATTTAATTTTTGTTTTCAACGTCAATCATCGTTACTATCTTTTCTTGAATTTCCAATCTCAAGTAAAATATTCGCGACGAGATAGCGTTGTTTATTTCTAATAATAATTTGAATTAGAAATTTAAGTTCGACCTAGCCAGGTATATTTTTGTCATATGTCTCTATGATGAGCCAACAAGTAAGTTCGCTGAAATTAGAACAATGATTTGATTCCTTCGTATGTAATGTGAAATTTATTATCAAATTACGTCATACTAAAAGCGAGTCTCAGGAATAACCGTCTGCGCGTATCGATCGAATTATTTCGAGATATAATATTTGCGTCCCGGGCAACTGGGTTCTATGGATTCATCAAATTGCCACTGTTTTCGTTTAAGGCTTCGTATTTTATCTACAATGAAAAATTCGATGTATTAAGATTGTTTTCGATGCTTTTTTGTTATCTTTTTTTAATTGCGTTTTAATTGTTTTCGATTTTCAAGTTTTTTCGATGTATAAAATAAGCATAATATAAAATAAGCTTGCAGCATAAGGAATAATTTTCATCGATAATAAAATATACAAGTACGAAATGTTGGCAAAAGATCAAATCATGCAATTCGCCTCAACTTCCGCTTGAGTTTAATGGGACAGTTCATGTGCTCGTTTAGGATTATATTCGCTTGTGAATCCGATTAGTGCAAATATCAACTCGACGGTAATTCGCTTCCTCCGTCTTTAGAAGACTCATATCTAACCGCTTTGATTACGTCAAGAGAGCATACCCTGCAGAAAATGAGCGAATTCAAAGGAATTCATAGAAATTTCCATTCCATAAATTCATAAGTCTTCAAAAATTACGAACTGAGATTACACAAAGAAATTAATTTTTTTTTATTTAAAATTACCCAAGTAGAACAAGTCACGATAACATCAAAATGATGTCGTTTTGACATCATTTCGGCATTATAATGACTTACTGTTCTGCTAATAACATCTTGTAAAAACATCTCTATGTAAAAAGAGAGAAATTTTTTTAATCGAATATTTTATTATAAGATAAAATTTTTTCTCAACTTATTTCGATATTCATTTTTCCTGGATTTTCCCTATGTATTATCAATACATTCACAAAATTTATTATGAATGTATTGTCTCACACATTTTTAATTTTCATGTGCGCGATGGAAATATTATTTAAATTTTGAACGCGATTCTCCGGCGTGAAGTGTCTTACTAACCAAAAAAGTTTCGCTAATCTCGATTAAAGATATATATGTGTTACACTTAAAAACAATATAAAAAATACAAACACATTTTAACTATATGTTCTATTATTACGTCTGAATATCTGTGTAAAATAAATACACTTCTTAAAATAAATAAAATAAATGCACTTTTTTAATTAGTAAAAAGATATTTAATTTTTTTGTTTGTCTTGATTTTTAAAATTACATTTTGTAATATTTATTTGCAAATTTAATGAGAAAAAAACATTAAGAATCAAATCAAATTTTACGTACACTGATCAAATAATAATAAATATTTGTGCATTTTTTTTATCCACTTGTTTAAAAATTATTAAAACTACAGAAAAATATAGTCATTAATTACTGCTTAAAACCATTATAAGCTAAATTATTTATTTGTTTTGTAACTTTTGCAATTGGTTCACGAGTTATAATAGCATCAAAATTTCTTAAATAAAATTGACTGATATAGCTTATTTTGGCTAATTGTTTGATTTGATACTTCCACATACAAAACTGATATTATACTTATAGTCAAAACATCCTTAATGACGTGTCTACAATAATATCTCGCGTCACCATCTCGAATCGCTTTTAACCACAAATTACGATAAATTCGACAGTTCGGGAGCTGGTATTAACATGTCTGTAAATCAAGAAAGTCACCTGCGTGCCGAGCCCTATCTCTATGGCGCGATCTCCGCCTACCTTCGACAACTTGTCTGCTTGGGAGGCTCACCGCGGTCGTCCCGTGTCAGAGATCCGCGCAGAAATCCGCAAATCGAGAAAGGATCGTTGCACAAGGAGGCTGCAACCGCATCTCTTCTCCATTCTCGACCTTTAGGGCTGGCACGAGACACAAATCACATTACGCCGCGCGC